ACTTTTTGCATGCCTGAAAATCCTCGCCTTGCCGCTTTTAGCTGGAATGACGTTCGGGCAGGCTGATTGTAACGTGACTTCGGATTATCACTTATTCCAGCCTCTAGTTTTAGTAATTTGAAGGCCTGAGGCGGCTACCACCTCGGGGAATGCCCGTAAAGTGCCAGGGCCCAGTGCCCAGTGCCCAGTGCAGTGCCGTGCGTGCCATCAGTGATATCGATCATCTGCCCTCCGTGCGCACGTCTTCCACCCCTCCTCACTGCCACCACCGCACACAAACAACTGCCACACTACTATTACTGCTTCGGGCCACTCAAGCACTCAAAGATACCTTCTCCAACCAAGGAACGGTTTTACTGCCTGTACAAGCAACGTCCTCTTCCCCTTCAGATTTCTGGTTGGGTAGTCGCGGCATGCTCCGCAGGTTGTCAAGATGACGAGGCTCCGCGGAGCTTCCGTGAGCTCATACGACGCCGCGCGCGGCGCTGGTTCCGACCGATCTCATCTCCACCGATCCAAGCTCCCTCCAAATGCGCCGGAAGTTGTTGTATTGAACACAATCGATGTGTCCGACCCATCTCAGGTATTGCTCTGGTGTCGCGATGAGCGACGGCGCCAATTCAACCTTCTGGTTCGCAGGTGAGTGAGATCGGACGAAACTCAACTACTATACAATCCCGCAGTAGCTGACGGAAGGACCAAGATATAAGAACCAGCTTATGTACGGCTGCGTGAACCCTGGCTGTCAGACCCCAACCTGCGCGAGCTATCGGCGACGGATCACCGAAGGACCATATCGCCGCTATACAGAACTGAGTGCCCGTACCCTGGCCTGCTACTTGGCCAGCGTAGACAATGCCGAAGCAGGACTCTGCTGCAACCCTCCTCGGGTACCATACGAACTGTCACCATATGAACCACAGCGCCGACCGAAACGCCGAAGTCGCACCCTGGTTGAACCTGCAGGGGCACTGGGCTCAATCGGGAGATACTCCGATAACACGGTGGCAGTACCCCAGGACTCCCCAAGACCACACGGTCGGCCGATGCTGCCGGGCTCGGACAAGAACGCAGACATTAGCGCGCGCCAGGAGGCGGACTCGCCTGAGCAGCAGGCGGCATTGTCGGAGGATGAACAACACGCTGCAGCCCAGAGACAGAAGGATCCCAAATCGTTCACGCAAAACCTTTTCGACACCCTATCCTTGAGAATGATAGAATGGTTGCCTTTACGGCGGTCTCCGACTGCTCTCGACGCAAACATTGACCAGCACCACCCTCGATCGGAACTTAGGATGCCGAAGAGCGAGCCCGAACAGACGCCTTCGCATTCCCACCGGACGAGACCACATATGAGCCGACAACGTACACCTCAAAATGCCATCCTTGCTGGGGTTGCTCCACATACTCCCTCATCGCGGAACGGCACTAGTCAGAACACCGCATTAGAGCTAACGGTACCGATTACGCTTACGGGAATGGATCAATGGCGTCGGAGTGGACGAGCGAACTTGGATGATAAATCCCACCATGAATTGAAACCGGCGCGCAAGATCCCCGTCAACGCACATGCAGATAACGATGGATCGGCCAATGTGCCCTCACCACCCGCCTTGAGACACCGTCCTCAAAAGCATCGGGGAAGGGTCGGGGACATGGATAACATTGACCTGGATTTGCAGCAGAAGAAAGAGCGGCGAGTGTCGTGGGATGGGGCAAAATACTTGAATAATGTTCAGTTTGTCGATTACTTGGATTCGGTCCCGTCTGTTGAGGAGTATCTTCCCTCGCAAGCTCAATCACCTACTGATCGGAAGCCCAGCCGTGGGAGCCCCAGCCGAAAGAAGTCAGCAACGGCTGTCCAGTCGGTGAGTCATCTTAATAGCGAGGTGGTGAATGGATTGGCGCAGATGACGGCAACCTCCGAGGATGAGGAGGAACGGTGGAGGAAAGAGCTCGCCTACATAGAGTTTACTGGCAGCTTTGAAGATTCTGAATGGCGCTTTGCGAACTCCCGACAGCGACAGGTTTACAATTTCATCGCACAGAGCGTGTTCTTCACCTTGAGCAGCACGAAACAGATACTGAGGTCGTTTCAGAAGCATGCGGCTGATTCATCCGAAGCGGATCAGAGCAGGGCAACTTCTAACCTTGATCTTCGACAGCTACAGCCGTCATTCAATAAGTTACTCAGTATCTGTCCCCGAGATGTTGTATTCCATAGCTTATGGGGTGCGATGGAATCGTTGTTTGTGCCGCCAAAAGAGCTATCAACATCGGGCAGACGTTCGCGTCGTTCGTCTTGCAACTCCACTACGTCCGCTTCTATGCCTGCTCCTATCCTTCGTCGATCTAGCTCAGTGGGCATGGAGCATCTTACAGATGCCAATGCTGCGGATGTCGCGACAGTCACCATGTTCGCTCTCGCGAGCTCGCTACCTAGGGTGGATGCGCCCACATGGCGCGCAATCCTTCAAATGCGTGCCGGGGGAGGCGTGGCATCTGGCTCAGAAATGCAGAAGCATTCAGTATCTAGATCCCGAGTAATCGTGGAGACTATCGACATGTTTGAGCATGAGCTTGCTCTACGACTCGTTGATCGCCTGGTACGGGGTCTCACGGCACGCCTGGCGTTCAACGAGATTTCCAAAACACGCCATGTATACTCGCGGGATTTCCCCAAACGTCGCAAGGACAGCGCTTTGGACCGTCTTGTGGACAATCTGGTCGAGGAATATAAAGCCATGTCACCCGACGGCATCACTCAGAAGCAGCCACCCCAGCCCGGGGCTCCATCCTTCGTCGCCGAATGGCTTCGGACTCTGCTGTTGCGGGAGTGGGATGGAAATCCCGAAATGCCAAAGAGCAGTTCTGCTGGCGGAGCTGTGCAAATCCTGGCCAAGTTGTACAAGGAGCGGAACCGCCTCGGCCTTGTGCCGGAAGACTTTCACACTTCATTTCTTGCCGAAAGGCTGGAGCCCCTAGACATGCCAGTGGAATGGCTAAACCGATTGCCGAATAACAAAACCATGCATCTTCTATCGTATCCGTTTCTGTTTCCGCCCTCCTCACTCGTCATCTACTTCCGCGCCTTGAATTATGCGGCCATGTCAAAATACTACGAAGCGGCGTTGACGACGACGAGGCACGTTACACAAACTGCGTTTGGGCCTATCCATATTCAAGATGACGTTGGCCTGCTGGCACGCATGAAGACGTCGATGACCACCTACCTCGTTCTTACTGTGCGCCGAGACAGCGTCCTCACGGACGCGCTCAACCAGCTCTGGCGGCGCGAGAGGCGCGAGCTCATGCGCCCTCTGAAAGTGCAGATGGGAATGGATGAGGGTGAGGAAGGCCTTGATCACGGCGGGGTCCAGCAGGAATTCTTCCGTGTCTTGTTGGCAGAGGCGCTGGATCCAGCGTACGGCATGTTTACGCTGGACGGACGGACGCGCATCTCCTGGTTCCAGCCATGCTCCTTGGAGCCACTCTACAAGTTCGAGCTCCTTGGGCTGCTGATGTCCCTTGCCGTATACAATGGGCTCACGCTTCCGGTCAATTTTCCCACGGCGTTCTACCGAAAGCTGCTAGGACTCAAGGTCAAGCAGCTGGACCATATTCAAGACGGCTGGCCGGAGCTCACCAAGGGATTGGAGGACCTCATCGCGTGGGAGGAGGGTGATGTGGGAGACATTTTCCTGCGAACCTACGAGTTCAGCTACGAAGTGTTTGGCAACGTCGAGACGGTGGACATGCAGAAGATTGATAAGGAAGCCCTGTGGCCGACACCGTTCCTGCCCCTCCGACCACCCTTAACCGGCACTCGGTCTCTCGGGTACTCGCCGCCATGGTCGGAGGTCCGTCATTACACGGACCACGTCAACTTGAGTCCCCCCTCATCTATGGCAGCAGAAACGGCAGGGTCGTATCGGGACGTGGCCAAGTCTGTTGATCCGTTGCCCGCGCTGGCGGCTCAGTCGCCTACTCCCCCGGCAGAGGAAGCGTGTCTCGTGACGAACGCTAATCGCGGGCAGTTTGTGAAGGATTACATCTTCTGGCTGACGGACAAGTCCATCCGGCCACAGTTCGAAGCCTTTGCCAAGGGCTTTTACACCTGCTTGGACCGGACCGCGCTGTCGATCTTCACTGCCGAGTCATTCAAGACCGTGGTTGAGGGGATCCAGACGATTGATATGCGGGAGTTGGAGCGTCACGCGCGGTACGAAGGCGGGTTCAGCGCGAGCCACCGGGTGATTCGGGACTTCTGGAGCATCGTGCGGCGGTACCCTGCGGAAAAGAGGGCACAATTATTGGAGTTTGTGACGGCTAGTGACCGGGTGCCGGTCAATGGGATTGCGAGCATCATGTTTGTGATTCAGAAGAACGGAGTTGGAGATGCTGTAAGTCACTGCTCCTTTCGCTAGACCGTCGACTATCGACTGTACAGTTGGACTGACAAATTGCAGCGCCTTCCCACGAGTCTGACGTGTTTCGGACGATTACTGCTTCCCGAATACTCGTCCAGGAGTATTCTCGAGGAGAAGCTGAGCAAAGCGTTGGAAAACGCACGAGGATTTGGCGTTGCTTGAGAGGACATACATACATATCCAGGGGAGCTGTATAGTTGTTATGTACTCTTGGTATTTATTCATTCTAGTCATACATACCCGGTTTTTATAGGCATATGGCTGGTGGGGACAATGGGGGATTGACGTTATCTAGGGATTGTGGATATCCATGATGGGAACTGGAATTACTCATAGTACGTAGATATACTTTTTGTAGCGTTGCCACCGGTAGAATGAGTAATCATATAAGACTGGGTAACTTTGTATGAGTACTCAGGAAGTTACTAGGAGGTAGAAGAAGTACTCGTACCCATCAAGGTGTGCGGGCGTGGGCGGAAGTGATTCGCCGCCTCCCCTGGCCCGCCACTTGTACCGTTCCCGCTCTTTTCGGGCTCTTTTCTCGGCATAGATTTATCCCATCTTTCTTCTCCTCTCTTGAACTTCGGATTCTCTTCCTCCTCAGTTTGATCTTCGCCACTTGTTGCGAACCATTCCCCCCTTCTTCTGCCTTTGGATAGGCCATCGAAACTGATTCTTATACCTCCATACATACCGGAAGTGAGTATATACCTCATCTACAGCATCAGATTGTGGCGTCTCCCCTCCTTATCCAAATTTCACTATCAGCCCCGCTACCCCACGTTGCTCTGACTCTATGCTGACCTTGACCCTTCCGCTTCAGACCACAAATTTACCTATACCTTATAGACCAACCATGCCCCCAATCGTTCACTGCGTCCGCCACGCCCAGGTAAGTAGTCTGCTGGAATCGAGAGTTGCCTATGATTTAACGCCTTTCGCCCCAGGGCGTCCATAACCTCTGCACCGCCAACCACGTCATCCACGATCCCCTCCTCACCGACCTGGGCAACGAACAATGCAGCACTCTCCGCGATACCTTTCCTCGCCACCAACACATTGACCTGGTGACCGCCTCTCCCCTCCGCCGCACCATCTATACCGCCCTCCAGAGCTTCGAGCCCGTCTTCAAGGCCCGCCCCGGTCTCGAAGTGATTGCTCTCCCGGATGCCCAAGAGACCAGCGATGTGGCGTGCGACACGGGCAGTGACCCGGACGTTCTGCGCAAGGAGATAAAAGAGAAGCACCTACCCGTTGACTTGAGCTTGGTCTACGAAGGTTGGAATGTGAAGGTATTGTGTTCCTGTTCCTTTTTTTTTTGTTTGGGATGACCAGATTTGCTAATGGAGAGGGGAGAATGTACAGTCCGGTCGGTTTGCCCCCACCAACAAGGCGATCAAGGATAGAGCCCGTGCGGCGAGACGGTGGTTGAAGGGCAGACCGGAGAAGGAGATTGTTCTGGTCACGCATGGCGGGTTCTTGCACTATTTCACGGAGGACTGGGAGAATAGCAGTCAGTTCCAGGGTAGGTGGTCATGATGTATTTGTTTGGGATTCGGACCAAAGCTAAACTCAGGGCAGGAACGGGCTGGTCGAATACGGAGTACCGCACGTACGTGTTCTCGGAGGAGGAGGACAGGGATGATCTCGAGGGATATCCGCTGGACGGGGACAATGCAACCTTGATCGAGACCCTGGAGTCGCGGCAGCGACGTGGGAAGTCGGGCCCGATGCCGAACCGGGAGCAGCAGAAGACGCTGTATAAGATCGGTACGCAGGGCTGGGATGACCAGGGGTTGCAGCTGAGTACGGCGGAGCGTGAGTCTGCCAGAGTGCCTGAGGGCAAGGAAATAGATGGGGTTCGCGCTTAGATTGAGATTGCCTTGGCTTTACACTTAGAGAGAGGTTTTCTTGAAAGATCGTTGATATAGTAGATAATGCATGAAAGAAAGACTACATAGCCGCAAAGATTCCCTTATTCACTGGTCTATGTGCACTGGTTCGCTGATAATGATAGAACAATAGCATTGTCCCTTCCAAGAAGCATCAAGGACAAAAGACAGCAACGGCGCTGTGCAAGTCTTTGTCTGTGAGGTTGTCCATAAAAGTTCACCCAGCCCAGTAACCCTGACCCTGATTGACTGTTTACAGTAACACACGATTCCCCACGCTCCGTGAATCTCAAAATTCAATATGCCTGGTTTTGTTTACCCCGACATCCCCATGTTTCTACCTCCACCTTTGCCCTCTCCTCATCCCCCCTTAACCTCCCCTTGACTTTCATACTCATGTATCCTTGGAGATGTCACGTCGAGGACTGATCTGATCAGACTCGAGACATCATCTCTGCTTCCTTATCGCACCCAGGTTCCTGTAGCCCCGCTGGAAGTGTTGACCTTGCTAATCCTACGAGAGACCGCAGATACACGTCTGTTTATCGCCTCGAGGCATGAGAGGGTGAAGTAACGAGACAGCACTGACTAGACTATACTATACTACACCCTCGCCTTCATACTCTCATGCCTCATCCTTCCTCCCTCCTTCGTTCTCCCTCCCTTCGTCCTCCTCCGTCCTCCGTCCCTCCGTCGTTCTCACGCCACTGCCAGAGTATCTTTGGTGAGACCATACCATACTACACTATACTATAACCTCACCAAGATACTCTGCATCCTCCGTCCTCGTCCTACGTCCTCCCTCCCTCCGTCCTTTCGCGCCACTGCAGGATACTCGGTGTCGAGACCATACCCCAATATAACCTCGCCCGAGTATCCTGCATCCTCCGAACGTCCTCCTTCGAGCGTCCTCCCCCATCCCCCCTCCGTCCTCCCTCCTCCGATCCTTCATTCGATTTCGACAACTTGACCACAGGTAAGCTCCACCACTCTCTAGACCAGCTAACACGACAGGTCCCCAGCGAACAGACTCGCACCTCACCGTGGTGCTGGGGTCTAGTAGCCTCTCCCCGAGGCGAAGCTAAGACGAGTCTTCGAGAATGGCTGTCTGCCTTGAGCAGGGGCCGTAACATGCATAAGTAGAGATCTAGCTTGTGTGTGTGGCTCGATGCAGCTGGTGATTGTTCGCTAGTGGGATGGGATCTGTGCGATCCTTGATATATCTGATGATTATCAGGTAGTATGCGCGCGATCCCGTCTTTCGCAATAAATAAATCTAAGTACAGTATGATATCTCTCTTCTTCTGTCAATTCTAAGCAGCCAGTGTATGAAGTTTGTACTCCTTGCTGTATGTCGCGTCACCTCTAGTCTGTGGTGATGGCTGTATGCCTTATCCTCCGAGAGAATGTTGGCAGTATGCAGAGTGATGTACTCGGTCAAGTAACCACTCAGCCACACTCCACCGCCTGTTGATCAAACTTCACCGTCCATACAGTACATTGAAGTATGCGTCTGCCTAGGATTAGAAGGCTTATACTGAGAACTCCGCTCTAGGCTGGCGACAGGAAGCCCGGGCCGTAGCCGGAGACAGTAATCATCGGCATGTCGGCACGCAGAAAGAGGCGGTTTTCTATTCGACAATGCGACTGGAAACCATGGTGCCTATTTGTCGGATCCTGCTTATGTCTGGGAAAAAGAAAAACAAACGATGATCCTACCCGCAGGATTCTTGTTGCCTATGTAGATGTCAGGAATGAACGTCAGTTATACTGAGGAAATTTGACCTGTTAGTGAGTCGGTACGTTACTAGGTACATATGTAGTAGTAGAGAAAGTTATTTATAGCGGGTGGGGCAAAGCAGTGCCCCGATGGCCTGAGGCAGCACATTTCCATACCTTCCCGCGCTTGTGTTTCATCCTTCCCTTCATCCTCCAACAATCCCCAGAACAACAAGATCCAGACCGACACTCCGGGACTCGTTCACTCTTTTGTCGAGTATATAACTTCTCCAATGGCATCCGGCCTATTGGTACCTTTCTTTGGAATCTTTTCATGATCGGTGGATGAAGTAACCAGCACCATGCTCGACGAGAACCTCCCTAGTATGTCTGCTGCCTTCTTATGCTCTTCCCTTGTATACCCGCCCGTCCACAACCTGCACAACCTGCACAATGAACCCAGCAACATCGCGACTGACTGACTGACCAACCCTCTACAATAGCATTCTACCTCAAACCCTCCCGCCAAACCCCCCACCAAACCACCATCCACCTCTACCAACATGGCAACGACCCGCAACCGACGTACACCCTGCGACACCCGGACCCAACCACGACCCCGACCCCGGCGGACGCCCACAACCGCTACGCGGCCGCCCTCTATGACGCCCACGTCCCCTCGATCCTGTACGGGGAAGTCCTGATCCTGCCGCAATGGACGACGCCCACCCTGTCCGCCGACGCCATCCGCGCCAACAACGGCACCACCCCGGCGCCCGAGCCCCTCCTCCCCACCACCTTCACCATCAACCTGTACAACCCGGACCAAACCGTCACCGTCCACTTCAAGCCCAAGTCCTGGAACAGCCCGGCGAACTGGTGGTTCGAGATGCCGCAGCACAGCTTCCGGCAGCCGTCGACGTCGCGGCTGGACCGCACCCAGGCCGACCCGGCCTCCGCCGACATCACCCCGAAGCTGCGGTTCGCGTGGCGCAAGGACAGCAAGTTGAGCAAGGACTTGACGTGCGTGCTGTCGGGCAAGACGACGACGCTTCCGGAGTCCAAGACGAAGGCGAAGGAGCCGGATATCACCGTCGCCATGTTCCAGTCGCTGAAGGAGTTGACCCTGTATGAGCCGAACCTCTACCGGGTCGAGATGGAGGATTTCAAGGGGCTGGAGGTGGTCTTGCTGCTGGCCGCCGTGACGATCAGGGATGTCTGGTTTGCGCCGCAGGGGCTGCGGGAGGCGTTCCGGGTGGGGAAGTCTGGGCCTGCCGCAGCAGCAGTTTCGGGAACGGGGGGTGGAGGGAGGGAGGGGGCGCCAACTAAGCAGCAGAGACCTGTAGTTGGTACGACGATGGGGTCCTCGGTGGCTATAGCATCGGGGGCTTTGAATGCTTCGCCCTCGTCGCCGTTAGCGTCGTCATCGCAACAGCTGTCGAAACCCCTACCGCAACCACAGCCTGCGGTATCACCGGCGGAGAATTGGCGCAAAGAGGAGGAGCGCCGCACGCGGCTGCTGCTGGAGGAAGAGGAGCGGGCGCGGCGACAGCGCGAGGCGGCGCGCCAGGCGGAGATTGATCGCGAGACGCTCCGTCTGCAGAGGATCTACGGGCAGGAGGAGGAGCGTGTGCGCATGCAGGCGTCCGGGGCCCCGGGCCCGCTGCCCCCGCGGATGAGTGGTGCTGCCGCCGCTCCTGCACCGAGTCTGCCCTTGAGGCCGGCGCATCCGCCCCAGCCGCACAGTTATCCGTACCAGGATGGACGGCCCCGGATTCATGGGGCAGGGCGGGTGGATCCGCGGCACCAGTCGGTGGTGCGCTTTTCGTTGTCGCCGGATCAGCAGCAGCAGCAGCAGCAGCAGCAGCAACAGGAACAAGCGAAACCGGCGCTGCAGCCGAAGAAGAGCAGTTTCTTCCGATTACGACGGTCGTCAGCGGATGAGGCGAAGTTGAGTAAGAAGCGGAGTTCGATGTTTTGAAATGATACCCTTGCATATACTGTACTGCTATGAGATACGAATGGATTTTTGATTGGACCAGCGTTCCCCATATACATATATTCCTTAATAAGGGCGCTTCTGTCCTGCTGTGCATCCACCGGCTGGCGCTCATAACTGCAAAGGTCAAGTATACACCGCGTAGCCTTTACACAGCATAACCTCTACACCCCCACCCCTCAGGATCATCCATCTATCTCCAAACCAAGCAATCACAAAGGCCTAGCCTCGACCCCCTCCAGCGTAATATTCACCGGCAGGATGTTCCCCTGCGCATCGAACTCCATACGATCGATACACACGACGCGATGATCCCGCGCCGTATCGTTGGGATACCGTCGATGATAGACGATATAGTACTCCTCGCCGATCGTCAACACACTGTGATGGCCGGTACCCGTGCCGATCTTGTCGTTGCCCTGCAGGATCTTGGTAGGGGTGGAGGTGAACGGCCCCGTCGGCGAGGGACCCGTGACGTAGCTGACGCCGTAGGAGTTGTCGCCCCAGCTTGTATGTCGACGTTAGCACCCTGTCCCTAGAGGTAGTCTCGCCCTTTCCCCTTCCC